GGCCACCCCCCACCACTAACAAAGCAGGGACCCACCCTAGGCCATCTGCCCAATGCAGGCTGCTGTCATTAGTCAGTCACCCCATCAACTGTTGTCAATGGGCTACCCTCATCACTCCACGAATGACCCTTCACTGGCGCCTCCTTGGGTCAAAACCAAGCAGGGTGGGTGGGATGGAAATCACCTGTCCCTTTCTGTGTGTAGGGGCCGAAACTTGCTCCGTGTCAATAACTAAGAGGGGGAAGCCTCGGAACCCGGGGATCGCGACCCCTCCGTCTCGGGGCCTGGTGAGGCACTAGCCGGGATGGGCGGTGCAGGAGTCTCGCCCCACGCACCTGCCATTGGGAGTGAGGCATCTCAGGGCTGCAGGCTCCCGCGCGGGGGGTCGGCTCTTACGGAGCGACTCGGTGTCCAGACAGGGTGGCGCCAGAAGTTCCTGCCCGCGGCGCGTCAACTCTCGGGCTGGTGCCGCCTCCATGCCCAGTCTGGGCCCAGCAGCAAAATCTCTGCCCGCTCCCCCTAGGGATAAACCCGAGGATGAGGGAGGTGAGAGTGATGACGATGGGCGCCACCTGGGCGGAGCCGGCCGGCGCAGGTCACGTGGGGGCGCTGTTTGCACCTGGGAGCACTTTTTGCAGTGGCTGCTAGGAGACTCAGCTGTGTGGCTCGTGGTCAGGAAGGCCCCCCCTGGGTGGCCCTGTCTTTGCTAGCTATCTTCTGGTCACTCACACGGCCTTGAAGGTCAAGGGACGCTGTGGCTCCCTTCTCTGCGGCTGGGGCGGAGCCTGGCCACGCGGGGGCGTCCCAGGAAGAACGAAGTGGCGGGTGCTGTCAGGGGGGTGCGGGCGCACCCAGGGCCCCTGCACTCGGAGCTGGACAGCCCGGCCCCCCCAAGGACACAAGACATGCCGCAGATGTGTATGATTTTTTATTGCAGCTCTGGTGTGAGTCCATCCCTAATTTATAGTCCGATTCTCCCTGGTGGACCGTCACACCCAAGATGGAGACCCACCCCTCAGGACCCGGACACTGGCTGTCTCCAGCAGTGGCTCTGGTCTCACACAGTGCTTCCAGCTTCTCATTCCTGGCCAGTCTGTGCTCTGGGGCCGGGAGCATGGCTTTTTTCAGTTCAGTGGCCCTGGTTGGTCCGGTGGCCTCCTCTCAGTGGGGCTTGGGGATGTGGCCATCCACGTAGAAGTTCCTGGTGACCTTGGGAAGAGCAAACTCGACTCCTTCCAGCTCAGGGGTCAGCACAATCTGGCAGCCCAGTCTCGAGTTCTCCTGGAGCAGCGGGGCCATGTCCAACATGTCGTCCTCCCTGGGACAAAGGGCAGTGGTCAGAGTGATGTGGGCTCTGAGCCCTGGGAACAGGGAGGCAGATGCCTTCGGCATAGCTGGGGCTGCCCACTCACCTCTCCTCAGGAGGAGGCAGGAGGTCCAGGTGGGCCTCGCTCACATACACATGGCAGGTGGAACATGCCAGGGAGGCTTCGCAGGCCCCTGGGGACAGGAAGGGAACGGGACAGCCTTAGTGAGGAGCAAGCTCCACCTTAGTTCCTCAGTCCCATCCTTCTCAGAATCGAGAGGGTTTCCAAGTGGTCTGTTTGAGACAGTCTCATGTAGCCCAGGATAGGCTTAAAGTCACTATGCAATCAAGGCTGACCTGGAACCATTATGCCTGGTCCACACTGACTCTCACCACACTAACTTCCCTCCCATCTCAGGGCCTTTGCACTCTTGTACCCATGGCCTAGAATGTTCTCTACTTTGCTTAGTGGCATTTATTCAAGGGTTCACCTCAAGTGCTTTCTAAATTCCCCCACTTTCCTTTCTTCATTTTTTTTTTTTTGGTGGCATTTATCACCATGTAACTTTAAAAAAAAGGGTATTAGGCCGAGTTGTGGTGGTGCACACCTTTAGTCCTAGCACTAGGGTGGCAGAGGCAGGTGGATCTCTGAGTTCGAGGCCAGCCTGGTCTACAAAGTAAGTTCCAGGACAGTCAGGCTACACAGAGAAACCCTGTCTCAAAAA